CCTTCAGGCGATATGTCTAAAAGCACACTGGAGACGAAGTCTTCTCTGTTTTTCATTACATGTGTCATGAGGTCTGTGCTGTTGATACCAACACGAGTGTCCACGGTTATTTCTCTGTTCTGACTCAACTGTGCTAAAAGGCACTAAAAGGAAAGTGTGTATATTGTGTTTAAAGAGGCCTAATATTTGTCTTGGATGATCAAATGACAATTCAGTTGTTTTCTTTCCCTTCACACTTTATCTCAACCTGTTCGTCTTAGTCACCAAATAGGCCCAGGGGATTTCATCCCTCACCTGTCCACTAGTTGTCCCCATGGACTTTTCCTTCCTTCCCCATCACCTGATCTTACTACGCACCTGCCTACGCCCATTAGACAATCAGTCTCCATCTGTACACATACCATTCACATTGTCTGCTGTTACATGGTGATTCATCAAGATGACACCACCTTCTATTACATAATTTCTCCTGTCTTGCTTTTCAATTACTGTGCAAACAAATACAAGAATCTGGAGGAAAATAAATGTTCATAACTATTAAAAAAAATGAGTTTAAACACAGCTCATGTGGCAGCAACAACAATTTCTCAGGAATATTGAGGGTGTGATCAGATCACACTTGACTGACAGCTCCCTTTAAGCTCAAGTAATATTTCAGTCACTATCATTAAAATGTTTTGCTGCCAAGAAATAAACTACCAAATCCATCAAATGGATCCTACTGGGAAAGAAAGCTAACTAGACCAGCTGGCAAACCAGGTTAGACCACCCCAATCTGTATTTATATTGAACTGTACCTCCTGAAATACAGCGCTAATTGTTTTAGCTTTTTCCATTCACTTACATGAAATGGTTAGCATTAGCTCTTCTATGAAAAAAAACTATTCTCTAAATCTTTTTTTTTTTTTTTTTTTAAAAGGCTTGGGAAAAACTAGATTTAGAATTATCATTATTATAAACATTTTTCCAGGTAATTTCCTTGTTTGTTTGTTTTTAACTTTTTTCCTTTTTTTAATTTTTTTATGTAATTTTACTAAATTTCATGTTTCTAATTTCCTCTTTTTACTAATTTCTTGCTATTTTTTTTTTTTTTTTTTGCCATTTCTTCTTTTGTTGCTCATTGCCTTCTTCCCATGTTTTTGAAAGAAACCAAGTCAATTTTCCCAGGTTTCAAAGGGTTAATTAGTTAATTAGCAGGCCCAGGCCCAGGCCCAGGGGCCCAAGGGCTCAGGAGGCCCTGAAGTCAGCGCCTCTGCGTAAAGGTGCTGTTATTAACTTGCATTTCTTGAGACAATGCAGACCTCCTGTCTGTTTTGTAAGCTGAAACCATTTCCCTCAGTGGAAACGAAGCTTTTATTTACCTTAATTTCACAGATAAGAAACAATAAATTGTGAAGACAATAAAGCCTCCACAAAATAGCATTTGAATTCTTGTGTGTGATTTATCCTGGCTTCATATGAGCAGAGGAAATCTCAGCTAGTTGCTAGGCTAATTTATAAAATTTAAAATGCCATAGTAATGTTAGCATGTTGTATTTGTTTGGAAAACATGTTTAGTATAAGACAGTTGTTTTGTCGGTGAACCTGGTGAGTTGTAATGGAGCCGAATTATGTAAAATTACCTTTGTTAAATGTTGCTGTTGTCCCTGGCTTCATATGAGGAGAGGAAATGTATGCTAGCTTTATTAATTTCATTTATTCCTTTTGAGCTGCTAGGCTAATTCATACAATGTAAAATGCCATAGGCTTGTGCTAAACACATTAGCATGTTGTATTTGTGGGGAAAATGTGTCCAGATAAAGACAAGTGTTTGTCTGTGAATGCTGTGAGTTATAGTGAAGCCGATTTATGTATCCTACTTGTGTTTGAAATTGTTGCTACTAAGCTATGCTTAAGTGTGTTTTGCATCTATGGATTGACACAGACACACCACCGCCCAAGTATAAGTGCTTGCAACGGCGTAGGCCATGTGTGTTGGCTATTGACGCACAAGTATAAATCGGCCTGAAGGAGGAAGGACACTGTCACAGACCGATAATATGGACTTTGTCAATGTAACTTTTCCTCTTTGGTAGACTTCAAATGTTAAAATAAGCCTTTGACTTGCTTAAATGGAATTATTTTTGCTAGCTACACACATTCTGTCAGGGTTTCAGCCCTCAGTTGCATATTGTAACGCCGTCAGTTTTCCTCTCTGCTGGGCATGGTTTTCAAAGTATGATGTGTTGTGCCCTGTCCCCTCAGGTTATCCACAAGACTTTAAATGCACTAAGTACTGAATGCAATTTGGGCCCTGCAGTTCAGGGGACGGGTGACAGCATGTTGTAGGCCTACCTGCTCAAGGGGGGGCAGAGAGGCCTTTTATGCATCCAGGCCCAGGGGCCAATTGTGTCATTATCCCCTTCTGCTTAAAATGGAGCAAACACCAGTATATATAAGGAATACTGAATATATTGCACAGAAGATACAAAAATTAGTTGCCAGTGACCAACAACTGAACCAATGTCTTTGTGGTTGTTTTGCCCGTTGTTGTAGATATTTCGTGTCTCCTTGCAGTACCTTTCAAGTCTACTGCCAGTGATCAGCACCGCATTATAATTCTTGGTGTGCATTACTTTCATATTTTAAATATTGCATGATCTAAGATTCTGCTTCTCACCTTTACAACCCTTCATAATCAAGCCCCTTCCTCCCTGTCTGAACTCGTTCATATCTACACACCCTCCTGTACTCTTAGACCCTCCTCTGCAATCCAACTCACATCACCATCTGCCCGCTTGACCACCTTTAGAGCATTCAGACGTTCTGGCCCTCTCTGGAGTTCTCTCCCCCACGACATTTGCAAACCCTTTCCACCTTCAAATCCTGTCTGAAAACACACCTCTTCAAGCTGGCATGTTCGGTCTTAATTAAGAGCCAGGTCTCACCCTGAGAACGTCAAAATCCGGCACTTGGTCAGTGCCTTGCAAGCATCAGAAACCAACGAAAAAGGTGTCCCCTAACGTTGGCATGATACATGGCCGGTTGCCGGTATAGTTTAACGGTGCCCAGCGGTGTCACAGGGAAACGCAGTGGGACAAGAGCTAAGTTAAGGCGGCGAAAGTCTGATTGGGGCATGCGGGAGGGGTGGTGGATGGGTCCAACAAACACTGAATTTCACCTGAGAGAGTGGTGTTCACCTTCCTCAGATTCTAAAGCCAAGCCCTGTTCTTTTTCCTAAACCAAACCACATGCGTTTGTTGTTGTTGAAGGAAAAAAAAAGGTCAACTCACAGTGTTGTACTGATGTAGTGCGTTTATTTTGAAAGAGAATGTATATAAACGGTAAAATCCCTGTCAAAACAGAAGTGTATTTTGAAAGAAGACAATGCATGTAACAGGAAGAACTTGACACGGCATCCCAGAACGTCAACAATCAACACACCCAGGGTACCTTGCATGTCATATCTGGACGTGGAAAGTCCACGACCAAATGTCGATATGTGACTAGGTCAGAGTGAGAATGTGTTAGATTTAATTATGACACACATATTGAGACTTGCACTGATGATGATTTTATACCTAATTTTTATAATTATTTTTGTCTTGTCATGTCATTAACTGGCCGTACAGTGGTGCAGACGTTAGCATTGTCGCCCACCAGCAAGAGGGTTCCTGGTTCAAACTCAGGGTGGGGGGTTTGCATGTTCTCCCCGTGCCAGCGTGGGTTTTCTCCAAGTAGGGCCTACTCCAGCTTCCTCCCACAGTCCAAAGACATGCAGGTTAATTGGTGACTCTAAATTGTCCGTAGTTGTGAATGTGAGCGTGAATGGTTGCCTGTCTCTGTGGTAGCCAATTTTGTTGTCATAGCACAAAAATGGAAATCTTGTGAAGACTAAGGCAGGGCCCCAGGCAGGGCAAGACACCCGATCAAATGTCACACAGACTCGGAGCAATTGTACAGAAGCAAATAAGAAACAGGAATATTTGAATTTCAGCAGCCACTGGATACTTTATATTAAAGGGATAGTGCACCCAAAAATGAAAATTCACCCATTATCTACTCACCCTTATGCCAAGGGAGTCTCAGGTGAAGTTTTAGAGTCCTCACATCACTTGTGGAGATCCCAGGGGAGAGGATGTAGCAACACAACTCCACCTAATGGAGGCTGACGGCGCCCCAGATTCAATTGTCCAAAAACACGTAATGGAAACCACAAAATATCTCCATACTGCTCGTCCATAGTGATCCAAGTGTCCTGAAGCCCTGACATAAAAAGTTGTTTGGAAAAACGTCATTTGAACTCTGTTTTTAGCCTCATTGTAGCCTGTAGCTCTAACTGCCTGCCTGTGCACCACGCTCACGTGTGTACGATTGTGCGCGATAATGACTGAATTTTCATTTTTGGGTGCACTATCCCTTTAAAATTTAAACACGACTGAATTCAAAGACTTGAAGTATTTTACTTTAAAAAAAAACATGTATCTGAATTTATTTGCTTTGAATCCACCTGTGAATGTGAGTTATGTAAACTGAACAAATGAATTTCATTAACTTTTATTGTATATTATGGAGTTCTTTGATTTTATGATCTACGGAAACATTGCTGTTTTTTTTAACAGTGTCTTGCAAGATGTGCCTATAAATAAAATGCATTATTATTACTGTTACTGTTATTATCATTATTATCATTATCATCATGTCTGATAGTTTAAGAAATGGCTTTATAATTATTTCTTCTATTAACCTGTATATAAATCCCTCAGAGACACACTTCATCACTCTGGACAGACGAGAAACAGCCACAGCTCTCCAATATATAATCATTATTGTTGTTAATCCTTTATCAGTTTCTTTGGGTTTCGATCATGAGTCAGAAGAATGTGGTCATTGTACAGGCATGTCGTCCAGTCCTGTTTGGGGCGGGTCATCCATGGAGTCACAAATTTGCGTCCCGCCCAGAGGGAACCTCACACACACACACACACACACACACACACACACACACACACACACACAAAGCCATTTGCTGCTGCTGTTGCCACGCGGTGTTCGAGTCTCTCCATCCTCGCGCGTCATAGAGGAGGGACGGAGCCGTCTCCGATTGGCACGTGTACGCACGAATACGTCTAACGAGGGAGGATAGTAATTTCAACAGCGCCTTCCAGACCCTTCTCAAACATTTGAGGACAGTCGGACGAGCAGCAGGCAGACACCAGCCGGCGTTTTCATACGAGAGGGTCTGGAAATTTTCCATCTGAGCAGGAAGAGGAAGAAGAAGAAAAAGAAGAAGAAGTACTTCCCGCGAGACACACACAAGTTATTCACACACGTCTTTACGCTTCAACTGAAGAGAGGTGAGGCTGTTTCCGGGTTTACTTTCAGTAAGGAGCGTGTCATTCATTCATTTGACACTTTTACAGTTTAGCTTCCAGCTTTTATAGTAATATATTTCAGCTCTTAGCTTCTTTACGTAACACTGCTCAGCATTCATGACAGCATCCACGCGCATTTTCTACAGGAAATGATTATTCTAGTGAACACATCCATGTGTTTGTGAAGCTGGTCTGACAGGAAATGCTAAGTAATCTTTTCCATTAGGGACCAGAGACAACTCTTCTTTCTTAATGCCAGCTTGCACTTGTTGTGACGTGTTGAGGAAATGCAGCACATTACCCATGATGCCATTTCCACATACAGAGAAAGAAGTTGGCCACTCTGCTGCCATGTCTGTCAACATCCACATCAACAGCCCTAATGTGAGGTACACAGACACACACATTGTGTCTCAGTACTCCTACCAGACCACATCGGTCCACACAGAGGGGAACAAAGTCACGGTAAGTGGACCTGCCTTGTGTTTCTGTGTGTACTCATGTATCTGTGTGAACTGTATAACTAATGTTGCTCCATGTTGGGAAACAGGTGACTCCTCGCACCACTGAAATGACATTTCGCACAGAGAGACGCGTGTCCCGGTTGGGTGTAATGCTGGTGGGAATTGGAGGCAACAACGGGACCACAGTGATAGGAGCTGTACTGGCCAACAAGCTGGGTCTCAGCTGGAGGACCAAAACTGGACTGAAGGTGAGTGGAGTGACACAGACAGATAGAGTTTTGTTGTGTTTATCCGTGGTGTTGTTGTAAGTGTGTGGACCACAGGAGGAACAGCCAGTGCTAATGCTGGCGCTAACGGGGATCCAAATAAAGAAAGGAAAAAAGTGTTTGTGATGGAGTGAAGTGGAGTCTATGTGGATAGCACTGAAGAAAGAGATGTGACAGGCACAAAATCTAACACAACAGCTTTGGCTTCTAGTGTGACATCAAACATACATGTCAACAGCGCTTTATAAACAATACCACCTACCACCTCTGTTTTATGGCGGCTGATCTCGCCCTTTGCTCAGAGCATAAGGAGCTTCCAGACCTCGTTGTTTTTCCAATTTGCAGACACTGTTCCTCTTCTTTTAGTTAGCAGCTAACTGCTACTACCTGCTATTTAAATCTCTTGCAGTGAGTCACGCACAAAACACACCTTTAAAATGTCACAACTGCCCTGCCCATGGTCCCGCCCTGCCGGCTGTCCTGTTTATACAGACATCATTGCAAGCTTAAAGGCGAGACAACTCTGTCCTCTGCCTTTGCACGTTTTATACACAACAGCGAGGCAGCAAAACTGCTCGATATAGTGTAAAAGGGGCTAATGTTGCACAATTCACGTACGGTCATCGCATACTGACGTCACATTACATTACTTAACAAATAAACTTATTTGAGTTGCTTTTCTTCTTTGTTAAGTTAGCTGCTAACTGCTATCAGTTGCTGTTTAAATCTCCAAGTGGGGGGGTCGTCACGCATAACACGTCGTCAAAACGTCACACCTGTGTCGCCCATGATCCCGTCATGCCGCTATCCCTTTTACACAGATGACATTTCAGTGCTGTCACTACCTCCAGTGCCAGCTTAAAGGCGAGACAACTCTGTCCCCCCCAATTCTGTGATTGTACCGTTTATACAGAACGGCGAGGCGGCATAACGGTGTGAAACTCTTGCCTTGAAGAAGCAGTGTGAAAGGGGCGATTGTTTGTCAGCGAAGATGTTTATTTGTGTTGCTTTTTCACACATATTGTTCTTGTTAGTAATAAATACAGTAACTATAAAATAATGATAATAGTTTTTGGGGTTTGGGAATTGGCAGGGCAGGGGAAGCTTACTTAGCGCGCTAAATGTGTTAGGCTGGCACTGCTGGTTTACATTCATCTCGGTATAGTGTGGAAAAACAACCGGCTCAGATTTGAAATTTGCCGTACTTGAGACGGTTAATTTACAGTAAAAAATGTTATCATTTCACATTGATGTTAAAAATTCAACTTTAATTATGCAACAATTAGAGCTGCTTAATTAATCAAAATATTTTCAATTTTGTAATATGGGCAAGTGCAATATCCAAATAGCAGGAGTTTTTTGATAAAGGTAAAATGTGTCACAACATACTGTTCTAAATGAAGCATTGTGGTGCTACTGTACAGTACTACAGTACTTTTTTAAACATCCTGCACAAAACTGAGCAGCTTTCATATTCTGAAACAGGCATAATGTACTTATTTGTTGTGTTATAGTTCTTTTTAAAAATATCTTTGTCATATTTTCACTGAAACTTTTCTGTTCTATATTTCTGTTCCTGAGTGATGCAATACTTTTGTTCCTCTTAATATGTTTATTGTATGTTTAACTCTTTAAAACCTGAGCAAATTGGCCTGATCCCTTTCAAGAACACATAACAAAGGCAATGAGCAACTTTATAAGGAATGACCCAAAAATTAGCAAGAAATTTGTAAAAGTTACGAAAAAATTTCTGGACAAATACAGTACAGGCCAAAAGTTTGGACACACCTTCTCATTCAATGCGTTTTCTTTATTTTCATGACTATTTACATTGTAGATTCTCACTGAAGGCATCAAAACTATGAATGAACATGTGGAGTTATGTACTTAACAAAAAAAGGTGAAATAACTGAAAACATGTTTTATATTCTAGTTTCTTCAAAATAGCCACCCTTTGCTCTGATTACTGCTTTGCACACTCTTGGCATTCTCTCCATGAGCTTCAAGAGGTAGTCACCTGAAATGGTTTTCCAACAGTCTTGAAGGAGTTCCCAGAGGTGTTTAGCACTTGTTGGCCCCTTTGCCTTCACTCTGCGGTCCAGCTCACCCCAAACCATCTGGATTGGGTTCAGGTCCGGTGACTGTGGAGGCCAGGTCATCTGCCGCAGCACTCCATCACTCTCCTTCTTGGTCAAATAGCCCTTACACAGCCTGGAGGTGTGTTTGGGGTCATTGTCCTGTTGAAAAATAAATGATCGTCCAACTAAACGCAAACCGGATGGGATGGCATGTCGCTGCAGGATGCTGTGGTAGCCATGCTGGTTCAGTGTGCCTTCAATTTTGAATAAATCCCCAACAGTGTCACCAGCAAAACACCCCCACACCATCACACCTCCTCCTCCATGCTTCACAGTGGGAACCAGGCATGTGGAATCCATCCGTTCACCTTTTCTGCGTCTCACAAAGACACGGCGGTTGGAACCAAAGATCTCAAATTTGGACTCATCAGACCAAAGCACAGATTTCCACTGGTCTAATGTCCATTCCTTGTGTTTCTTGGCCCAAACAAATCTCTTCTGCTTGTTGCCTCTCCTTAGCAGTGGTTTCCTAACAGCTATTTGACCATGAAGGCCTGATTGGCGCAGTCTCCTCTTAACAGTTGTTCTAGAGATGGGTCTGCTGCTAGAACTCTGTGTGGCATTCATCTGGTCTCTGATCTGAGCTGCTGTTAACTTGCGATTTCTGAGGCTGGTGACTCGGATGAACTTATCCTCAGAAGCAGAGGTGACTCTTGGTCTTCCTTTCCTGGGTCGGTCCTCATGTGTGCCAGTTTCGTTGTAGCGCTTGATGGTTTTTGCGACTCCACTTGGGGACATATTTAAAGTTTTTGCAATTTTCCGGACTGACTGACCTTCATTTCTTAAAGTAATGATGGCCACTGGTTTTTCTTTAGTTAGCTGATTGGTTCTTGCCATAATATGAATTTTAACAGTTGTCCAATAGGGCTGTCGGCTGTGTATTAACCTGACTTCTGCACAACACAACTGATGGTCCCAACCCCATTGATAAAGCAAGAAATTCCACTAATTAACCCTGATAAGGCACACCTGTGAAGTGGAAACCATTTCAGGTGACTACCTCTTGAAGCTCATGGAGAGAATGCCAAGAGTGTGCAAAGCAGTAATCAGAGCAAAGGGTGGCTATTTTGAAGAAACTAGAATATAAAACATGTTTTCAGTTATTTCACCTTTTTTTGTTAAGTACATAACTCCACATGTGTTCATTCATAGTTTTGATGCCTTCAGTGAGAATCTACAATGTAAATAGTCATGAAAATAAAGAAAACGCATTGAATGAGAAGGTGTGTCCAAACTATTGGCCTGTACTGTATTTAAAAAAAAAAACAGTTTAAAAAAAAAATATCAAACAAGGACATAACCTGAAAAAGTCCTAAATATGTATTGGGAGGGAAAAAGACATTTTTTTTCTGTAATTTAAAATAAAAAATATATAAAATTATAAAATAATACAATTATAACAATTAGAGATACATTTTTTCTTTTCTTTTTCATTTCATTTTCTGGTAATTTTCCCTCTTGATTCTCTATTCTTTATTTGGATCCCCAGTATCTTCCACTTCCTGGGGTCCACTCACAAAACAACATTAAAAATACATCAATTTAAAAATCACACAGTATAAATGAGACATTTACATCCAATATCAGTCCAAAAATAGAACAAAAAAAAGAGTAAAAAACAAAATCGTCACAAACTCACTGTACCAAATAAAAAAAAAAAAATAGAATAAACATGACCTCTCTTTCTTGCAATTTGCAGGGCATTTCTTGCCAAGTTACTCTTCGCCTTTTTAGTACATTTTCAAAAGAAACCAAACCAATTCCCTGAGGTATCAAAGGTTTAAATGGTTGTGAAAGGCGTCTGAATGCAGCACAGGAAAACTGATGTCTCTCCAGGTACCAAAAACCAAAGCAAATTCCTTGTAAGTGGAAACCTACTTGGTAATATATCTTTTTCTGATCCTACAGAGATGCCCTGGCCTACAAATCATATTCCAGACGTAAGAGAACATGCGTATATGGTGCAGACCCTAGCAAAAATCACATCATCATTATTTTTATGGGGTTTTTTTTCAGTGAAATTGAAATTAAAAAAATTACCATTCCCCCTAAAATCACCACTCATATCACTATCACAATAAATGTCAAATGGGGGCGCCCAGTAGCTCAGTGGGTAGAGCAGGCGTCGCAGTCCTTGCAGTGGGTTCCAGCCCACTGCCCCCTGCTGTATGCCATCCTGCGCCCCCCAAAAGCACCACTGTCCTATTGATTTAAGGCAAAAAGCCCCAAAAAATAACCTTAAAAGGAAAAAAACAAGTTCTAGTCATGCAGCCCTTGTAACTATCTCAAGCAATCTCCTGCAAGTTGACTCCCATACTGCTCTGACATGAATACAAACCACTGTCTGCCTGTTTGGAAAATGGCCGTCCCTTGTATAAAGCATACACTTGTAATTTTACAGATGAAACATGCAAACACCACAATGATCCTTCTTTCATAAATAGAGTTCTAGATGGTGAATGAAGTCTTTATAACCAAACTATAATGTGATAAAAACGCTCAGGCTGCCATGAAGGAGCTAATAGAGACCCTCCTTGTCCTGTGTTTTAAATATAGCCTGCTGTATGTCCCCTGATACAATGGGGGAGACTCGTTATGAGCTGGTTATGCTGACATGTTCAGTAGAGTGTTAAGGGCTTAACTGACTCTGGCCTTTTGGATTTCCCCTTATATGGGCGTACATTGTAACCTCCATGAGCTGGTTTCCATTTCGTCCATATTCCTGTTGTTCAAAGGATTTAATGCACCTTAAAGCCTGTGAAAATATAGTCTTTAGAGGGAATGAAATCACAGTGTTTTTCTCTTCTTTCTCTCCCACGTTCTTCAGAAAGCGAACTACTTCGGCTCCCTCCTGCAGGCGTCCACTGTTTGTCTGGGATCGGGGCTGGAGGGCGAGGTCAACGTGCCCCTGGGTGACCTCCTGCCCATGGTGCATCCTAATGATATAGTCTTTGACGGTATGGATAATTGCACACAGTTGGCTCGAGCTCTGACCTCTGATACAACAGCTGAGAAGTGTTTGTGTGTGAAATGTGAGGTCAAGTGAGGTAACAGCAGAGTGATCTGACCCCAGGCCAGGGAGGCTCTCCAGGAGGTGAAGATGGTCAGAGAGGTGCTCTTACAGTACAGTGTCCTCTTATGCAATCTAATCTCTTACTCTATAAGAGAGGAGCTTTAACAGGCAGCCTATTTATAGAGCTGCTGGGGTCTATTTTAAGATAAAAGTAATGACTCATATAGGTCAGCCTCTGCCCTTGTAACTCTGGAAAATGGAAGATATATTTAAGGGATTCAGCACATTGTCCAACCCGAGGTGTGTGTATGTGTTTCTAGGCTGGGATATCTCCTCAATGGATCTTGGCCGTGCGATGGAGAGAGCTCAAGTGTTTGAGTGGTCGTTACAAGAGCAGCTGCGACCACACATGAGCCGCATGAAACCCAGACCGTCCATCTATATCCCAGAATTCATCGCTGCAAACCAGGAGAGTCGGGTGGACAACGTCCTCACGGGGAGCATGGTGGAGCAGGTAATGCTCGGTCTACTGACCAGCAGATTTATGAGGGCTGAAGTCTCTTCTCTACCTACCTACCTACCTACCTATCTATCTATCTATCTATCTATCTATCCATCTATCATCCATCCATCCATCCATCCACCTTCCTATCTATCCATCCATCCATCCATCCACCTACCTATCTACCTATCCATCTATCCACCCACCTACCCATCCATCTATCTATCTATCTATCTATCCATCTATCATCCATCCATCCACCTACCTACCTACCCATCTATCATCCATCCATCCACCTACCTACCTATCTACCTGTCCATCTATCATCTATCCACCCACCTACCTACCTATCCATCTGTCCATTCATACATCCACCCACCTACCTACCCATCCATCTACCTACCTATCTAACCATCTATCATCCATCGATCCATCGATCCATCCACCTACCTACCTACCTACCTACCTATCTATCTATCCATCTATCATCCATCCATCCACCTACCTACCTACCCATCTATCATCCATCCATCCACCTACCTACCTATCTACCTGTCCATCTATCATCTATCCACCCACCTACCTACCTATCCATCTGTCCATTCATACATCCACCCACCTACCTACCCATCCATCTACCTACCTATCTAACCATCTATCATCCATCGATCCATCGATCCATCCACCTACCTACCTACCTACTTACCTATCTGTCTATCCATCTATCATCCATCCATCCACCTACCTACCTATCTACCTATCCATCTATCATCTATCCACCCACCTACCTACCTATCCATCTGTCCATTCATACATCCACCCACCTACCCATCCACCCACCTACCTACCCATCCATCTACCTACCTATCTATCCATCTATCATCCATCCATCCACCTACCTACCTACCTACCCATCTATCATCCATCCATCCACCTACCTACCTACCTGCCTATCCATCTGTCCATTCATACATCCACCTACCTATCCATCCATCCATCCACCTACCTACTTACCTACCTACCCATCTGTCTATTCATACATCCATTTACCTACCCATCTATCCATCTATCATCTACCTACCTACCTATCTGTCTATCCATCTATCATCCATCCATCCACCTACCTACCTATCCATCTGTCATCTATCCACCCACCTACCCATCCATCCATCCACCTACCTACCTACCTACCTACCTACCTACCTACCTACCTACCTACCCATCTGTCTATTCATACATCCATTTACCTACCCATCTATCCATCTATCATCTACCTACCTACCTACCTACCTATCTATCTGGGATGTAACTATCCACAATAAGTCACGGTTCAGTTACCCCAGTTTAGAAGTCACGGTTACCTGTCCAGGGTGTACCCTGCCTCTCACCCAATGTCAGCTAGCATAGGCTCCAGCCCCCCTGCGACCCCCAACAAGATAAGCGGTTACAGAAAATGAATGCTTCTATAGCATCTCTGCAATGTTGCTACGACTTGTTCATCAGAGTGATGGCTGCTGGAACAAAGCTGTTCTTATACTCCTTAATTCTGCACCTTGGGACTATGAACCTTCCTCCAGGGGGAAGAAGGTGAAATACACTGTGGGAAAGGTGGGAGTCATTATTAAAAACTGAGCCAGTGATCCACTATAACCGTCTGGTGTACAGGGACACTGGGTCAAGCTGTGACTCACCAATCAGCCCACTGGACAGTTTAACAATCTGACTCAGAGAGTTTCTGTTTTTCAAAGAAAGGTTTCCAAACCATGACACCAAAGAGATAATGCTAAAATATGATTCAGTAAAAGCAAGATAGAATAAGTTCATCATGGTTTTGTCAGTGTGGTAATAACAACACACACACACCGTCCTCCTCTTCTACACAACTCTATCTCTCTGTTGCTGTTGTAGCTGACTGGGAACTCGCAGACAAGTCTTCAGCTTGGTATTTACAGGCTGAATGGCGATACACAATACATTTCTCGGTATTTTCTACGAAATGGGCGACATGTTTTCAGCTGCAAGTCAAAGCAACATTTAAGATGTCACAAGCTCTTTTATAAAAACAGACTGTGATCAAAATAAAATGTAAAGACAGATTTTTTTTGCCGTTTGAAAATATGCAGCTGCACAACATGTAAATGAAAATAATAGAAAATAAACAGCAGGGTGGTTAACGTTTTTGCATGTAGCACTGGAGCCACAGAGGTTTAAAGGTTTGTAGCACAGGACACAAAAAAATAACATGAGTATAAAGGTATCAAGTAGTAATTTTCCATGACCTCTCAAATGTATCTAGTGCTGGAAAATGATTTTAAATATTTATTTATTTAGGCTGTTAATCTTATTTATGTACAGAGCATCAACAGAGAGGCCGAGGGAGGGAAGGAGCGAGAGACACTTTGTCTGCGTTATATATGTCTGTGTTGTTGCTGCATTTTTTTAAACAGATGTGTCGCCTGCATCCAGGCACTGTCTCAGTGTCACACAATAGACTACAACTACCAAGAAGAACGGCGACACGCTATGATCCACCTCACACACAAACTAGCAGCGCAGCACTGGATTGCACATGTGCCGCGGTCATTTGATTCATCTCAGCCTGATTTAGCATAGCACGTGCAACATGTAGACCGATGTTGCACTGTAGACTAATTAACAGACAGATTAAACAGAGGAGCAGCTCTGTGTCTCTCTTGAGTGCTGATGGAGAATTTGTGAGTGAATGAGTGGGGTGGAGCTGTGTGAACTTTGGTTCTGTGTGCACCAGACACTGACCCTGTACCCTGAGGGTTCGGTACGAATAACCAAACACGTTACAGCCCTACCCTGTTTGGATGTCACTGTAGATTGTTGTTTCCCATGTTATTTTTAACCTGACTTGAAGTTTGAATGATCTTCCAGGTGGAGCAGATCCGCGCAGATATAAGGGACTTCCGACAGTCTAGTGGTGTGGACAAAGTCATCGTTCTGTGGACCGCCAACACTGAGCGCTTCTGTGACATCATCCCGGGGGTCAACGACACTGCGAAGAACCTGCTCGCTGCAATCCAGGTGAGAGCGACAGCCGTGTCCGTGAAGAAAGTTTAGTTCGAAAACTTCTAGATTCATTAAACACAGTCACACCTTTAAGTTGGTTTCAGTCGAGATCCAGTATGAAAATGAACTGTAATTGTCCCAGAAACCAGCCGAAATTGTGTTGGTGGCCGGTAGTCATGGATTCAACTTTAATTTCCTCCTAATGCCGAGGACCAAACAGTAATCCTCCATCACATTTAGTGATTAATAAAGCTTAGAGGATGAGAAGATTAACTCTGCTCACACTTCACTGTGGATTTGTAGATGAAATTCCATAATGAGTCAGCTATTCCTTTTATATCAGATCAGGGGAGGAAAATTATGATTTGCCCCTCATGGGTGAGTTTATATTTTATCTCCTGTCTTCAGCATGCTTGTACTGCTGTCAGCAACGATAATAGTCTATTTCACAGACTTGTGATCTTCAGCAAATAGCTCAATTTTCGATAGGCATGAAGTCGACAATAGAGTTGAGCTACAGAGATGATGTGAAGAGAGTCTCAGGGGAAATGTACGCCTTGTGAGTCGAGCTGTAATGTGATGATACACTCGCTAACAGTCATCTCTCTTATTTTCTTTTGCTACATCCATTAGGCTGGAGCAGAGGTTTCTCCCTCCACTCTGTTTGCAGTGGCCAGCATACTGGAGGGCTGCGCCTACATCAACGGCTCCCCGCAGAACACTTTTGTGCCCGGGGCCATTGAGCTGGCCGTGCAGAAAGGCGTGTTCATTGGAGGAGATGACTTCAAATCAGGTCAGACCAAGATCAAGTCAGTGTTGGTGGACTTCCTGGTCAGCTCAGGTATCAAGGTGAGGAAAAGGATGCACAGACAGGAGGAAGGATATGATCTGATACTGATCATACTCAGTAGCTACTAACATGGTTATTATATACATTCACCGGCCACTTTATTAGGTACACCTGTTCAACTGTGTGTTAACGCAAATAGCTAATCAGCCAATCACATGGCAGCAACTCAATGCATTTAGGCATGTAGACATGGTCAAGACGACCTGTTGAAGTTCAAACTGAGCATCAGAATGAGGAAGAAAGGTGATTTAAGTGACTTTGAATGTGGCTGATGTACAGGGATTTTCACACACAGTCATCTCTAGGGTTTACAGAGGATGGTCCCAGAAGTGAGCAGCAGTTCTCTGGGTGAAAATGATACTCGTTCAAGATGATAGAAAGGCAACAGTAACTCAAATAACCACTGGTTCCAACCAAGGTCTGCAGAAGACCATCTCTGAACCAACAACACGTCCAACCTTGAAGCAGATGGGCTACAGCAGCAGAAGACCACACCAGGTGCCACTCCTGTCAGCTAACAACAGGAAACTGAGGCTACAGTTCACACAGGCTCACCAAAACTGGACAATAGAAGATTGGAAAAACGTTGCCTGGTCT